CCATTTCAACCTTTCACCACCTTCATACATTCAACGGTGACACGAACTGCGTACGGACAAAGGCACTCTGCGCTTTCAGGGAAACGTGTGTAGTGTTTTATTATTATTATAATACAAACAGCTTAGACAATACAATTCACACAAACTAAGTCATTGAATCTAGATTCAATGACTTAGCCACTGCGAGTGACGTCCTTTGTTCGACCAGGTTGAGAACTCCATTGAGATGAATTTCTCTCGTTTCAGATTCAAATCCTTTATATAACCAGATCATAACCCACTGAGGTTAAGTTCTCTCTCTTGAGATTAGAATCCTTTATTTAACCAGATCACAACCCATACAGATAACTTTATCTTGCTTGAGATTTAAATACATTATTTAACCAGATCACAACCCATTGAGATGAATTTTTCTCTCTTGAGATTCAAATCCTTTATTTAACTCGATCGCAAACACATTGAGATAAATTTATCTCGCTTGAGATTCAAATCCTTTATTTAACCGGATCACAACCCACTGAGATAAATTTATCTCGCTTGATATTCAAATCCTTTATTTAACCCAATCACAACCCATTGAGATGAATTTCACTCTTGAGATTCGACATCCTTTATTGAACCAGGTGAGCACCCATGTCCTTTGGTCCTGATTTCGAATCGGTTTTATGTTCAATTCACCTTTGTTGTGGATTGCATCGCCTCTAGTGACCGGGGGGGGGGAGGGGGTGATGGTGAACCCCCCCTCCCACCCACCCATCGATCGAAGCGTAGACCAACCGCCTCCTCTCTGGCCTCGGGCGATTGCCCGGACACGTCGGACAATTTCGCAAAACGCTCAGATCATTGCACGAAAAACTTTCACCTGCCGTACACTCTTCCTCTATATATATTTCTTTTTAAAAAACATAATAATAATAAAAATAACCGCCACGCGCCACGCCCCATTGCATTGTGGTTGCCGCACCGCCGCCAATCAAGCAAGGGTGTCTCGTGTTCACGTGAACCCAAAACGTGCCCATACTCTTTGGCTCTTTCGGTAAAGTCGCGTAGTCAGAAATAAAATCAAATAAATCACGACGTTACGATCGCAAAGGAATGCCCGATGGCGACCGCTTGTGCCGCGATCGAAACGTCGTCATTTGTTTCACGCTATTTCTAACTACTAACGTGACATTCACCGAAAGAACCAGAGAGTATGGATTCCTGCGGTCACGAAAAGCTTCAAGTCAAAACGTGGCCAATTCGTTCCGGGGCGCAGCACTAACCGGTTGCGTGCTGGAGAGCAAGGCCAGGCAGCTCCGAGCTCTGGGCCGTCGCCCGATGCTGCACGGTCGCTGTAGTCACTGGCGAAACGTCACGGCGACTCGAGTGATAAACGTCGCGGGGGCACGCTCTCCAACACACAAACCGGTGGTGCGGTACTCGTGTAAGGGATCTGCGAGCCACGCTAACGCGCGCGCACCACGCAGGCACGGCATCTCCGCTCTCACGAACAGGCACCAATCACACGCGCGGGGTATACGCTGGACGGGGGTCGGGGGTTAAAGGGCAAATGACGTCACCCGGTCCAGAAGGCGTACCAGACGCGGATGTGTATTGGGGCGTATTGGGAGCAAGGGCCGGAGAGGTGAAAAGGGGCTGTGGGAGGTGTGTTCGGGGGTCGCTTTGGAACGAGAGTTGCTGTGCGTTGCTGAATTGAAGAAGTGGTTCGACTATTCTCCGACTCCTCTTCACTAGCGTCGAGTTGGCACGTTTTTATTCTTTGGGTCTTCCGGTCAAGTCACGTGGGGATAGGTTTCAAAGAAATTAACAAAAGTAACTTTAAAAAAAAAACTACGACGTTTCGATGGCGACGCAAGCGATCGCCGTCAGGAAGAACGCTCGCGTTGCGATCGAAACTTCGTAGTTATTTTTGTTATTTGCTTTGAACCTATCGACGACGTGACTTTACCGGAAGACCCCAAGGATATGAATTCCTGCAGTCACGAAAGCAATTAAGTCGAGATTTGGCACGTTTTGTTCACGTGATGCGCTTTGGATGGTGGTGTCCGGGTTTAACGACAGAACATTTATATATATACGTGATCTAACACACCCCCCCCCCCACCCACTCCAAAAAAAAAAACCTCTCATGGATGATATTGGTCGCGGAAGCGTCAATAAACTGTGTTGTGGCCGTTTGTGCTTTTGTAACACCGCTGCGAACAGCGTCAGCATCACCATCTAGCGGTTCTTATTCTTAACCGCAGCATCCCTGGGGGGGGGGGGGGGGCGGGGAGGGTGCGAGATGCCCCCCTATCACGGCCAGATTTTGTCTTTAGAAGGAGAATCATCGAAAAACACTAATTAAGCACGGGGCAAAGTAAGTAACACGACTTCCTTTGTTTCATCAAGCGCGGTGCCAAAGAAGTTCAACGTACGCACACCCCAAGCGCACGCGCGCACACGAAGACAAAGATCCCCCGTGTGGCCTGAACGGACTGTCGGGGCGAGTGCTGTTAGCGAGCACCGCCTGTGAAGGCCGGCACGGCACACACGAAGGGGGTGGGGTGGCCAGCGCCACTCCCGGCCGCTTTTGTTTCCCGCAGTGGCGGTGTTTACAAACTACACACCGCACCAGGTAATCATTTGAGGCCGAGTCGACCTAGGGGGAGGCCGAGGACCGGTTAAGACAATCGACGCCGGCGTTGACCGTGAGCGGGATTCGAAACCCGGGTCGCCGGGTTCGTAGCGCGGCGTAGCGCTAACCGCTACACCACCGCTCCCCCACACGCACACACCTACACACACATACACACCTACACGCACACACACACACAGATACGTGCACGCGCACGTGGACGTACACGCGCGCGTGCACGACCCGCCACAAGGCAGTGATGATGACCGCGGGCCCCGGCGAGCCACCGATCGCCGGTTCGACGAGGAACGCGCGGGAGCTCACAAAGTGTACTCCTTCGTGGGCCGGCAAAGAAGCCCACCTACTCTTCCACGGTGGCCAGACCAGGGGGGCGGGCGGGGGGTTGGTGGGTGGCCAGCACCGCGCCCCGGCCGCCTTTGTCTCCCCCAGTGGCCGATGTTTACTGCGCACATTGTGCCGAGCAAACTCGTCCGGTGGCCGAGTCGCCCCGGGGGAGGCTCGGCACCGGTTCAGATAAATGAATCGTCACCGGTGTTGGTGGCCGTGAGCGGGAGTGGTGGTCCGGCGTCGACCGGGAGGAGCTTTCGTGGAAATTCAAACCCCGGGAATCTTCCGGGGGTTTGATCTTCCACGGGGCTGCCCGCGGTCCACCCTGAGGCGCGTCCGTTCGCACACACCACGGTGGCAGGAGCAGTTACACGCGGACGATACCCGATGCACAAATGGACAATTAAAACCTCTCCGGCAGTAGTAGTGTTGCGTGATTGTGGGTCATCCGGAACGGAGACCGTAGTGTAACGTGCGATGACGCAATGGAAACCCCCCCCCCCCCCCCCCCCCACAATCCACAAATACGAAGGAGGAGACATCACAGCGATGACGACGACTCCGCTGGCTCCTGCCGACGCGGTTGTCCGCCGGCTCGGCCACCCGAACGCGACATCTTTGAGTCGCTGGCCCCTGCGTCGACATCAGCAGGAAGCGGCAATTTGAAGTCGGGCGTTTCAACCGTCGCCTGCCGCCGTGGGAAGGGTGGTCGAACCGGTCGACCTCCCGGATCCGCAAGTCCAGCCGCGTCCCCCCCGGGGCCCTGCGCACGCGACCGCGGGGTTTAGTCCGCCGCTGTAAACAAGAGCGGCGGAATCGCCCATCACGGATTTGCCCGAATGTAGGAGGACGTGGGAGTGGCGTTTACCCAGTAGGGGCGTGTCTCTGCCCATATATGGAAGGCGGTGGGAGTGGCGTTACCCATTAGGGGCATGTCTCTGCCCATATATGGAAGGCAGTGGGAGTGACGTTACCCATTAGGGGCGTGTCTCTGCCCATATATGGAAGGCCGTGGGAGTGGCGTTACCCAGTAGGGCGTGTCTCTGCCCACATATGGAAGGCAGTGGGAGTGGCGTTACCCATTAGAGGTGTGTCTCTGCCCATATATGGAAGGCAGTGGGAGTGGCATGACCCAGTAAAGGCGTGTCTCTGCCCATATATGGAAGACAGTGGGAGTGGCGTTACCCAGTAGGGGCGTGTCTCTGCCCATATATGGAAGGCAGTTGGAGTGGCGTTACCCAGTAGGGGCGTGTCTCTGCCCATATATGGAAGGCATTAGGTGTGGCATTACGCAGTAGGGGCGTTTCTCTGCCCATATATGGAAGGCAGTGGGAGTGGCGTTACCCAGTAGGGGCGTGTCTCTGCCCATATATGGAAGGCAGTAGGTGTGGCATTACGCAGTAGGGGCGTGTCTCTGCCCATATATGGAAGGCAGTGGGAGTGGCATTACCCAGTAGGGGCGTGTCTCTGCCCATATATGGAAGACACTGGGAGTGGCGTTACTCAGTAGGGGCGTGTCTCTGTCCATATATGGAAGGCAGTGGGCGTGGCATTACCCGATAGGGGCGTGTCTCTGCCCATATATGGAAGGCAATGGGAGTGGCGTTACCCAGTAGGGGCGTGTCTCTGCCCACATATGGAAGGCAGTGGGAGTGGCGTTACCCATTAGAGGTGTGTCTCTGCCCATATATGGAAGGCAGGTGCGGCATTACGCAGTAGGGGCGTTTCTCTGCCCATATATGGAAGGCAGTGGGAGTGGCATGACCCAGTAGGGGCGTGTCTCTGCCCATATATGGAAGACAGTGGGAGTGGCGTTACCCAGTAGGGGCGTGTCTCTGCCCATATATGGAAGGCAGTTGGAGTGGCGTTACCCGGTAGGGGCGTGTCTCTGCCCATATATGGAAGGCAGTAGGTGTGGCATTACGCAGTAGGGGCGTGTCTCTGCCCATATATGGAAGGCAGTGGGAGTGGCGTTACCCAGTAGGGGCGTGTCTCTGCCCACATATGGAAGGCAGTGGGAGTGGCGTTACCCATTAGAGGTGTGTCTCTGCCCATATATGGAAGGCAGGTGTGGCATTACGCAGTAGGGGCGTTTCTCTGCCCATATATGGAAGGCAGTGGGAGTGGCATGACCCAGTAGGGGCGTGTCTCTGCCCATATATGGAAGACAGTGGGAGTGGCGTTACCCAGTAGGGGCGTGTCTCTGCCCACATATGGAAGGCAGTGGGAGTGGCGTTACCCATTAGAGGTGTGTCTCTGCCCACATATGGAAGGCAGTGGGAGTGGCATGACCCAGTAGGGGCGTGTCTCTGCCCATATATGGAAGACAGTGGGAGTGGCGTTACCCAGTAGGGGCGTGTCTCTGCCCATATATGGAAGGCAGTAGGTGTGGCATTACGCAGTAGGGGCGTGTCTCTGCCCATATATGGAAGGCAGTGGGAGTGGCGTTACCCAGTAGGGGCGTGTCTCTGCCCATATATGGAAGGCAGTAGGTGTGGCATTACGCAGTAGGGGCGTTTCTCTGCCCATATATGGAAGGCAGTAGGAGTGGCATTACCCAGTAGGGGCGTGTCTCTGCCCATATATGGAAGGCAGTAGGTGTGGCATTACGCAGTAGGGGCGTGTCTCTGCCCATATATGGAAGGCAGTGGGAGTGGCATCACCCAGTAGGGGCGTGTCTCTGCCCATATATGGAAGACACTGGGAGTGGCATTACCCAGTAGGGGCGTGTCTCTGCCCATATATGGAAGGCAGTGGGAGTGGCGTAACCCAGTAGGGGCGTCTCTGCCTAAATATGGAAGGCAGTGGGCGTGGCATTACCCGATAGGGGCGTGTCTCTGCCCATATATGGAAGGCAATGGGAGTGGCGTTACCCAGTAGGGGCGTGTCTCTGCCCACATATGGAAGGCAGTGGGAGTGGCGTTACCCATTAGAGGTGTGTCTCTGCCCATATATGGAAGGCAGGTGTGGCATTACGCAGTAGGGGCGTTTCTCTGCCCATATATGGAAGGCAGTGGGAGTGGCATGACCCAGTAGGGGCGTGTCTCTGCCCATATATGGAAGACAGTGGGAGTGGCGTTACCCAGTAGGGGCGTGTCTCTGCCCATATATGGAAGGCAGTTGGAGTGGCGTTACCCGGTAGGGGCGTGTCTCTGCCCATATATGGAAGGCAGTAGGTGTGGCATTACGCAGTAGGGGCGTGTCTCTGCCCATATATGGAAGGCAGTGGGAGTGGCGTTACCCAGTAGGGGCGTGTCTCTGCCCACATATGGAAGGCAGTGGGAGTGGCGTCACCCATTAGAGGTGTGTCTCTGCCCATATATGGAAGGCAGGTGTGGCATTACGCAGTAGGGGCGTTTCTCTGCCCATATATGGAAGGCAGTGGCATGACCCAGTAGGGGCGTGTCTCTGCCCATATATGGAAGACAGTGGGAGTGGCGTTACCCAGTAGGGGCGTGTCTCTGCCCATATATGGAAGGCAGTTGGAGTGGCGTTACCCGGTAGGGGCGTGTCTCTGCCCATATATGGAAGGCAATAGGTGTGGCATTACGCAGTAGGGGCGTGTCTCTGCCCATATATGGAAGGCAGTGGGAGTGGTGTTACCCAGTAGGGGCGTATTCTTAGTTTTTTCGGTAAAGTCACGTTGAAGAGAAACAACAAAATAACAAAATATATATAAAACAATAATATATATATTTTGTTATTTTGTTGTTTCTCTTCAACGTGACTTTACCGAAAAAACTAAGAATATGAATTACTGCAGTCACGAAAGCTTTAAATCAAAATTCAGTAGGGGCGTGTCTCTGCCCATATATGGAAGGCATTAGGTGTGGCATTACGCAGTAGGGGCGTTTCTCTGCCCATATATGGAAGGCAGTGGGAGTGGCATTACCCAGTAGGGGCGTGTCTCTGCCCATATATGGAAGGCAGTAGGTGTGGCATTACGCAGTAGGGGCGTGTCTCTGCCCATATATGGAAGGCAGTGGGAGTGGCATTACCCAGTAGGGGCGTGTCTCTGCCCATATATGGAAGACACTGGGAGTGGCGTTACCCAGTAGGGGCGTGTCTCTGTCCATATATGGAAGGCAGTGGGAGTGGCGTAACCCAGTAGGGGCGTCTCTGCCTAAATATGGAAGGCAGTGGGCGTGGCATTACCCGATAGGGGCGTGTCTCTGCCCATATTTGGAAGACAGTGGGAGTGGCGTTACTCGGGGAGACGTGCCTCTTGCCCGTACGTGGAGCGTGAATCCAGGTTAATCATTTAGATTCCACTCAGTCGATCCGATATCAGAATAACGGGAGTAAGATTGTTAATATGAACAAATAATAAAAAATACAGATAATCCGTAATCAGCGAGTTAATCGCCTGGTCGATTCGTTGCTAATCGATGCGTGGATTGAGTAATCCCATTGGTCAGGTGACACACGCCCCCTTGTTTTGATTGGCTGATATCTTGAACGATTGGCGATTCCACCGTGGTCCGTTTTTATTGCACAAGCAACCTGTGAAAAATGAGCTTCATAGCTCATCGGATTCCTCCAGTAGTAATAAATATTCTGATTCTGAATAACGAACAGCGGCGGAAATGACACAGTGCACGTCGTCATGCTGAGACGTGGAGGGTACCGAGAGCCCTTCCACCCACCCACTCTCCTACCCACCAATCCACCCACCCTCCTACCCACCAATCCACCCACCCTCCTACCCTCCCCACCCACCCATCAATCCATCCACTCACCAATCCACCCACCCACCCTCCAAGCTACCCTCTTACCCACACACCCACCCTCTTACCCACCCATCCTCCTACCCTCCCACCCACCAATCTACCCACCAATCCACCCACCCTCCAAGCCACCCTCTTACCCACCCACCCTCTTACCCTCCTACCCACCCTCCTACCCACCCTCCCTCCCACCCTCCCAGCGACCCACCGGTATCACTCGTTGATGGTCTTGATGAACTCAATGGCGGAGCAGAACTGGAGCCAGCAGTAGGAGTCATGGCCCTCCATGGAGGCGGCGTGCAGGCTGCTCACGTACTGCACCGTGGACAGCAGCGCCCGCGGGTTTGCCTGCGTGCGTGTGTGTGTGTGTGTGGGCGCGTGCACGTGTGTGCGCGGGTGTGTGTGTGCGTACGTGTGTGCGTGTGCACGTGTGCGTGGATGCGTGCACGTGTGTGGGTGCACGTGCGTGCGTGTGCACGTGTGTGTGTGCACGTGTGCGTGTGTGTGGATGCGTACACGTGTGTGGGTGCACGTGCGTGTGTGTACGTGTGTGTGTGTGTGGGGGCGCGTGCACGTGGGTGTGCGTACATGCGTGTGTGTGTACGTGTTTATGTGTAAGTGAGTGTACGTGCGTGTGGACGTATGTGTGTGTGCACGTGCGTGTGTGTACGTGTGTGTGCACGTGTGCGTGTGTGGATGCGTGCACGTGTGTGGGTGCACGTGTGTGTACGTGCGTATGTGTACGTGTGTATGTGTGCGTACATGCGTGTGTGTGTACGTGTGTGTGTAAGTGAGTGTACGTGCGTGTGGACGTATGTGTGTGTGCACGTGCGTGTGTGCACGTGTGCGTGTGTGCACGTGTGCGTGTGTGTGGGTGCACATGTGTGTACGTGCGTATGTGTACGTGTGTATGTGTGTGTACGTGTGTGTGTGTGTGTATGTGTGCGTGCATGCATGCACGTGCATGTGTGTGTGTGTGTGTGCGTACACGTGTGTGCGTGCGTGTGTGGGTGTGCGTGCGTGCGTGCGTACACGTGTGTGTGTGCGTGCGTGCGTACGAGCGCGGTGCAACAGAGTACGTCAGGTTCACGACTCAACTCGACTCATTTGCCATGACCTATCCACACGAGGTCACGGAAGTCGGAACCCAGCCATCGACAGACGAGCGACGGGCGTCCGTAGGGTCACCGTGACCTTGACCCCCACCCCGACAAGAGGTCACGGGAACCGGAACCGAGGCACCCTAAACGGGCGAGCGTAAGGCGCCCCCGCGGGGGGCGGCCGTGACCTCGAAGCCGACCTTGACCCGGTCGAGCGAGCGGGCGGGCGGGCGGGCGACCCGACCTGGGCTGACCTGCACAATGACGTAGACCATGACGGGGATGAGGTCGTCGGCACCGGGCCCCGACCCGCGCTCCGTTGCCAGGCTCAGCAAGGTCACCACCGTGCGGCAAACACGCAGGATGCAGCGAGCCTTGTCGCTCGGGGTCTGGGGTGGGGGGTGGGGGGTGGGGGGTGGGGGTGGAAGACGAGAAAGATTGCGCTCCCCTTCCTTAGGTAGCCGCGGTGGCTATGAGATGTTGACTACCTCGCCTGGTGTACAGGAGGTCGTGGGTTCGATCCAGGCCCTGACGCCTGCTGCTGCTGCTGTATATTTGGAGTCTGCGTGTCTCTCTCTCTCTCATCATCATCACGGTGGCTATGAGATGTTGACTACCTCGCCTGGTGTACAGGAGGTCGTGGGTTCGATCCCGACCCTGACGCCTGCTGTATATTTGGAGTTTGCGTCTCTCTCTGTCTATCCCCGTGGTCGCGTGGATTTTTGTCCGAGTCCTCCGGTTTCCCACCCCCCCACCCCCACCCCACATTTAGAATCAACATCGCCACACGTTTAAAAGTATTTGGCTACTGCTATTAATGTCCACGTGACGACGACGACGACGATGATGATGAGTCCACTCCGTAGAGCTATCACTTGTGTTTGCCAGCTCGCTTCTGAAACAGCGCTTGGGTAGCTCAGCGTGCGAGCCTTACGCCCGGGGCACAATGGAACACTTTCAAGTTTCATTGTTTAAAGCAGTGGGTTTCTAAACCTTTACAGCAGCCCTGCACACTCCCACTCCCACTCCACCCACCCCCCTTTCGTTCTCGATCATTAAGAAAAGCGTACAAATCGCGTAACTACCATATTGGGGTTGATGAAGCAAAGCGAGTGGAAACTTTAACGTTGCCCCGTGCTTAATTTGGGGGGTGTTTATCCATGATTTGCCACTCCCTAAAAACAAAACAAAAAACTTCTGGCCACGTCCCCCGAATCCCCCAGGGAGTGGCGTGGCAGCCCAAATGGGGGGCCCTTAAACGTTAGCGCGTCGCGAGTCGAGGGTCAGGCAGAACGTGCCCTTGGGGGGGGGGGGGGGGCCCCGTCCATAAATGACGTCACGCTATTTTGGACGATTTTTTTAACCCCTCCCCCAACCGCCTTCGTCACGCGGCGTCACAAAAAGTCAGACCCCCCCCCCCCCCCACTGAAATATGACGTCACAAAGCTCTGCCCCACCTCTCCTCCCAAAAAAAATATAAAACATGCTTCAAATCACACTCTTGGTTCTTTCGGTAAAGTCACGTAGAAAGGGAAAAAAATAAAAAATTATGAAAATAAAAAACGACGTATTTTTATTATTTTATTGTTTCCCTCCTACGTGGTGATTTTACCGAAAGAATCGAGAATATGAACCTCTTGTATTCATGGTTCTTTCAGTGAAGTCACGTAGAAGGGAAACAATACAATAATAAAAATATAAAACAATAAAATTCTCACGACGTTTCGACTGCTACACAAGCAGCAGTCATCATCAGGTGTTGCAGTCGAAACCTCGTGAGAATTTTATTGTTTTATATATATTTTTTTAATTTTACTGTTTCCCTTCTACGTGGTGACTTTACCGAAAGAACCAAGAATATGAACCTCTTGTATTCATGGTTCTTTCAGTGAAGTCACGTAGAAGGGAAACAATACAATAATAATATAAAACAATAAAATTCTCACGACGTTTCGACTGCAACACAAGCAATCATCATCAGGCGTTGCAGTCGAAACGTCGTGAGAATTTTATTGTTTTATATTTTTATTATTTTATTGTTTCCCTTCTACGTGGTGACTTTACCGAAAGAACCGAGAATATGAACCTCTTGTATGCATGGTTCTTTCAGTGAAGTCACGTAGAAAGGAAACAATAAAAAAATAATACAAATATAAAACAATAAAATTCTCACGACGTTTCGACTGGAACACAAGCAATCATCATCAGGTGTTGCAGTCGAAACCTCGTGAGAATTTAATTGTTTTATATATTTTTATTATTTTTTATTTTATTGTTTCCCTTCTACGCGGTGACTTTACCGAAAGAACCAAGAATGTGAATCCCTGCAGTCGCGAAAGCTTTAAATAAAAATAAAACATGCTTCACATCGCTTTAAACTATTGTCATTGCAGCGCGTATTTAATGTGGCGACGCACTCTGATGTTGCAGGAGAAAACATTTGTGACAAAGTCTATTTAACTAAGTAGAAACGTAGAAATAAAAATAAAAAAATAAATATTGTTATTTTTTATTTTTTCATTATATCTTATTTCTACGTGACTTTACCGAAAAGAAAAACAAAGAGCAATTCCTGCAGTCACTTTAGCACCAAATCAAGTTTCAAGCAGAACGCGTTGCCTACATTTATTTAAAGCTGCACATTTTTACGTGACGTCACATTTCTCAAACTTCTCCCTCCCCCCCCCTCGTCACACATCGTCACAAATGTCTGACCCCCCCACCCCCCACCCACCCCCCTCCCAGGTACGTGACGTCATGTATGGAGGGCCCGTGGTCACGTGGCCTAACGCGGCGCGCCGTGAGGCCCGCGGCGCCGCACCTTGTAGGCCCACAGCAGCTGCAGCTCCTCCTGCGCCTGCCACCAAGGGGCCTCGTTGTGGAACGCCTGCACCAGGACACAGAGGGACGCGGCGAGCCAGGGCCATCAGGGCCATCAGGGCCATCAGGGCCATCAGGGCCACCAGGGCCATCAGGGCCATCAGGGCACGGTGAGCCAGGGCCACCAGGGCCATCAGGGCCATCAGGACACCAGGGCCACCAGGGCCATCAGGGCCATCAGGGCCATCAGGGCCATCAGGGCCATCAGGGCCATCAGGGCCATCAGGGCCATCAGGGCCACCAGGGCCATCAGGGCCATCAGGACACCAGGGCCATCAGGGCCATCAGGGCCATCAGGGCCATCAGGGCACGGTGAGCCAGGGCCATCAGGGCCATCAGGGCCATCAGGGCCATCAGGGCCATCAGGGCCACCAGGGCCACCAGGGCCATCAGGGCCATCAGGACACGGTGAGCCAGGGCCACCAGGGCCATCAGGGCCATCAGGGCCATCAGGGCCATCAGGGCCATCAGGGCACAGCGAGCCAGAGCCATCAGGGCCATCAGGGCCATCAGGGCCATCAGGGCCATCAGGGCCATCAGGGCCATCAGAGCCATCAGGACACAGCGAGCCAGGGCCATCAGGACACAGAGGGATGCGGCGAGCCAGGGCCATCAAGGCCATCAGGACGCGGCAAGCCAGGGCCATCAGGGCCATCAGGACATGGCAAGCCAGGGCCATCACGGCCATCAGGACGCGGCGAGCCAGGGCCATTAGGGCCATCAGGACACGGAAAGCCAGGGCCATCAGGGCCATCAGGACATGGCAAGCCAGGGCCATCAGGACGCGGCGAGCCAGGGCCATCACGGCCATCAGGACCATCAGGGCACGGCAAACCAGGGCCATCAGGGCACGGCGAGCCAGGGCCATCAGGGCCATCAGGGCCATCAGGGCCATCAGGGCACGGCAAGCCAGGGCCATCAGGGACCGCCCAAGACAGAGAGAGAGAGAGAGAGGAGGGGGGGTGGGCAAGGAGATGGAGGAGACGCCCAGACCCAGGGGCTCAAATCCTGGGATTTTCTCAGCTGTGTTGACTCAAGTGTCTTCCACACAGCCATCATGAACCACCCCCTGAGACAGCAAGACCCAGGGCTTGAACTCAGGTTCAGGGTGTGTGTGTGTGTGACTGCCATTATGAACCCCTGAGAGAGAGACAGAGACACCCAGACCCAGGGCTTGAACCCAGGTTCAGGGTGTGTGTGTGTGACTGCCATTATGGACCCCCTGAGTGAGAGAGAGACACCTAGACCCAGGGCTTGAACCCAGGTTCAGGATGCGTGTGTGTGCGTGAGTCACAGCCATTATGAACCCCCTAAGTGAGAGACAGAGACACCTGGACCCAGGGCTTGAACCCAGGTTTAGGGTGTGTGTGTGTGTGTGTCACAGCCATTATGAACCCCCTGAGAGAGAGACAGAGACACCCAGACCCAGGGCTTGAACCCAGGTTCAGGATGTATGTGTGTGTGTGTCACAGCTATTATGAACCCCCTGAGTGAGAGACAAAGACACCTAGACCCAGGGCTTGAACCCAGGTTCAGGGTGTGTGTGTGTGTGTGTCACAGCCATTATGAACCCCCTGAGAGAGAGACAGAGACACCCAGACCCAGGGCTTGAACCCAGGTTCAGGGTGTGTGAGAGACACAACAATAATGAACCCCCTAAGTGAGAGACAGAGACACCTAGACCCAGGGCTTGAACTCAGGAGGTTCAGGGTGTGTGTGTGTGTGTGACACTGCCATTATGAACCCCCTGAGAGAGAGAGACAGAGACACCTAGACCCAGGGCTTGAACCCAGGTTCAGGGTGTGTGTGTGTGTGACACTGCCATTATGGACCCCCTGAGTGAGAGACAGAGACACCTAGACCCAGGGCTTGAACCCAGGTTCAGGGTGTGTGTGTGTGTGTGACACTGCCATTATGAACCCCCTGAGAGAGAGAGACAGAGACACCTAGACCCAGGGCTTGAACCCAGGTTCAGGGTGTGTGTGTGTGTCACAGCCATTATGAACCCCCTAAGTGAGAGACAGAGACACCTAGACCCAGGGCTTGAACCCAGGTTCAGGATGTGTGTGTGTGTGTGTCACAGCCATTATGAACCCCCTGAGAGAGAGAGAGAGAGACAGAGACACCTAGACCCAGGGCTTGAACCCAGGTTCAGGGTGTGTGTGTGTGTCACAGCCATTATGAACCCCCTGAGAGAGAGAGACAGACACACCCAGACCCAGGGATTGAACCCAGGTTCAGGATGTGTGTGTGTCTGTGACACTGCCATTATGGACCCCCTGAGAGAGAGAGACAGAGACACCTAGACCCAGGGCTTGAACCCAGGTTCAGGGTGTGTGTGTGTGTGTCACAGCCATTATGAACCCCCTGAGAGAGAGAGAAAGACAGAGACACCTAGACCCAGGGCTTGAACCCAGGTTCAGGGTGTGTGTGTGTGTGTGTCACAGCCATTATGAACCCCCTGAGAGAGAGAGAGACAGAGACACCTAGACCCAGGGCTTGAACCCAGGTTCAGGGTGTGTGTGTGTGTGAGACAGTCATTATGAACCCCCTGAGTGAGAGAGAGACACCTAGACCCAGGGCTTGAACTCAGGTTCAGGATGTGTGTGTGTGTGACAGCCATTATGAACCCCCTGAGTGAGAGAGACAGAGACACCTGGACCCAGGGCTTGAACCCAGGTTCAGGGTGTGTGTGTGTGTGTGTCACAGCCATTATGAACCCCCTGAGTGAGAGAGACAGAGACACCTAGACCCAGGGCTTGAACCCAGGTTCAAGGTGTGTGTGTGTGTGTCACATCCATTATGAACCCCCTGAGAGAGAGAGAGACAGAGACACCTAGACCCAGGGCTTGAACCCAGGTTCAGGGTGTGTGTGTGTGTCACAGCCATTATGAACCCCCTGAGTGAGAGAGAGACACCTAGACCCAGGGCTTGAACTCAGGTTCAGGATATGTGTGTGTGTGACAGCCATTATGAACCCCCTGAGTGAGAGAGACAGAGACACCTAGACCCAGGGCTTGAACCCAGGTTCAGGGTGTGTGTGTGTGTGTCACAGCCATTATGAACCCCCTGAGAGAGAGAGAGAGACAGAGACACCTAGACCCAGGGCTTGAACCCAGGTTCAGGGTGTGTGTGTGTCTGTGACACTGCGATTATGGACCCCCTGAGAGAGAGAGAGAGACAGAGACACCTAGACCCAGGGCTTGAACCCAGGTTCAGGGTGTGTGTGTGTGTGTCACAGCCATTATGAACCCCCTGAGTGAGAGAGAGACACCTAGACCCAGGGCTTGAACTCAGGTTCAGGATATGTGTGTGTGTGACAGCCATTATGAACCCCCTGAGTGAGAGAGAGACAGAGACACCTAGACCCAGGGCTTGAACCCAGGTTCAGGGTGTGTGTGTGTGTGTGTCACAGCCATTATGAACCCCCTGAGAGAGAGAGAGACAGAGATACCTAGACCCAGGGCTTGAACCCAGGTTCAGGGTGTGTGTGTGTGTGTGTCACAGCCATTATGAACCCCCTGAGTGAGAGAGAGAGACAGAGACACCTAGACCCAGGGCTTGAACCCAGGTTCAGGGTGTGTGTGTGTGTGTCACAGCCATTATGAACCCCCTGAGAGAGAGAGAGAGACAGAGACACCTAGACCCAGGGCTTGAACCCAGGTTCAGGGTGTGTGTGTGTGTGTGTCACAGCCATTATGAACCCCCTAAGTGAGAGACAGAGACACCTAGACCCAGGGCTTGAACCCAGGTTCAGGATGTGTGTGTGTGTGTCACAGCCATTATGAACCCCCTGAGAGAGAGAGAGAGAGACAGAGACACCTAGACCCAGGGCTTGAACCCAGGTTCAGGATGTGTGTGTGTGTGTCACAGCCATTATGAACCCCCTGAGAGAGAGAGAGACAGAGACACCTAGACCCAGGGCTTGAACCCAGGTTCAGGGTGTGTGTGTGTGTGTCACAGCCATTATGAACCCCCTGAGAGAGAGAGAGAGACAGAGACACCTAGACCCAGGGATTGAACTCAGGTTCAGGATATGTGTGTGTGTGACAGCCATTATGAACCCCCTGAGTGAGAGAGACAGAGACACCTGGACCCAGGGATTGAACCCAGGTTCAGGGTGTGTGTGTGTGTGACACAACCATTATGAACCCCCTGAGTGAGAGAGACAGAGACACCTAGACCCAGGGCTTGAACCCAGGTTCAGGGTGTGTGTGTGTGTGTGTCACAGCCATTATGGACCCCCTGAGAGAGAGAGAGAGAGACAGAGACACCTGGACCCAGGGCTTGAACCCAGGTGCAGGGGGTGTGGAGGTACCGTGCGGATCTGGATGGCCGGGTGGTCAGGGGTCACGATGAGGGCGAGACGCTGGATGTGACGGGAGAACAATCTGGAAGACATCGTCGTGACGATCATCGTCATCATCATCACTGTTATCATCATCATCATCACCGTCACCCTCATCGTCATCATCGTCGTTATCATTGTCATCATCATCGGTATCATCATCGTCATCATCGTACCAGCAGCATCCCATCATCACGGCCAGGTGAAATATATTAATTGTCGTCATCATCATTACAACCGTGGAGTGATAGCCCCGCCCCCTTTACGGATGTTCGTGGTTCCAACCTGGCAGGCCGCGCCGGTCAATCTCGCGAAAACACGGCGACGAACACCACAGGCGTCCCAACGCGGCGGCCACTGGGTACAGCTGACCCCTCTCGCTCCCCGGTAACCGCTCGCTCCCCGCTATCCGCTCGCTCCCCGCTAACCGCTCGCTCCCCGCCAACCGCTCGCTCCCCGCTATCCGCTCGCTCCCCGCCAACCGCTCGCTCCCCGCCAACCGCTCGCTCCCCGCTATCCGCTCGCTCCCCCGCCAACCGCTCACTCCCCGCCAACCGCTCGCTCCCCGCCAACCGCTCGCTCCCCGCCAACCGCTCGCTCCCCCCCAACCGCTCGCTCCCCGCCAACCGCTCGCTCCCCGCCAACCGCTCACTCCCCGCCAACCGCTCGCTCCCCGCCAACCGCTCGCTCCCCGCCAACCGCTCGCTCCCCCCCAACCGCTCGCTCCCCGCCACCCGCTCGCTCCCCGCCAACCGCTCACTCCCCGCCAACCGCTCGCTCCCCGCCAACCGCTCGCTCCCCGCCAACCGCTCGCTCCCCGCTAACCGCTCGCTCCCCGCCAACCGCTCGCTCCCCGCTATCCGCTCGCTCTCCGCTAACCGCTCGCTCCCCGCCAACCGCTCGCTCCCCGCTATCCGCTCGCTCCCCGCCAACCGCTCGCTCCCCGCCAACCGCTCGCCCCCCGCCAACCGCTCGCTCCCCGCCAACCGCTCGCCCCCCGCCAACCGCTCGCTCCCCGCCAACCGCTCGCTCCCCCACCAACCGCTCGCCCCCCGCCAACCGCTCGCTCCCCGCCAACCGCTCGCCCCCCGCCAACCGCTCGCTCCCCGCCAACCGCTCGCCCCCCGCCAACCGCTCGCTCCCCGCCAACCGCTCGCTCCCCCACCAACCGCTCGCCCCCCGCCAACCGCTCACTCGTCTCGGTGGACGTCGGCGTCGTCGTTGGGGTTGAACGCCCAGCGGAAGATCTTCTCCATGACGCACCGCTCCAACGCCGCCTCCACTTGCCCACGGAAGCGGCAGGTGGCTTCACAACCACCACCACCACCGCCACCACCGCCGCCACCACCGCCACCACCGCCACCACCGCCACCACCGCCGCCGCCACCACAGCCACCACCGCCGCCGCCACCACAGCCAGCCGTCCCGGCTACGACGCCGTCCACAAGGCTGGCGGTGAAGGAGCGAAGGAGGCCGTGGAGCAGCGGGGTCTTCTCGTCCTCCACCCTCAGGCGCTTGTAGGCTGCCGGAGCACGTGGGTTGGGCGGTGGGTGGGTGGTTAGGGTGGTGGGTGGGTGGTTAGGGTGGTGGGTGGGTGGGAGGGTGGTGGGTGGGTGGGTGGGAGGGTGGTGGGTGGGTGGTTAGGGTGGTGGGTGGGTGGTTAGGGTGGTGGATGGGTGGGAGGGTGGTGGGTGGGTGGTTAGGGTGGTGGGTGGGTGAGAGGGTGGGTGGGAGGGTGGGTGGGAGGGTGGTGGGTGGTTAGGGTGGTGGGTGGGTGGGAGTGTGGTGGGTGGGTGGGAGGGTGGTGGATGGGTGGTAGGGTGGTGGGTGGGTGGGAGGGTGGTGGGTGGGTGGGAGGGTGGTGGGTGGGTGGTGGGTGGGTGGTGGGTGGTTAGGGTGGTGGGTGGGTCGGAGTGTGGTGGGTGGGTGGGAGGGTGGTGGATGGGTGGTAGGGTGGTGGGTGGGTGGGAGGGTGGTGGGTGGGAGGGTGGTGGGTGGGTGGTGGGTGGGTGGTGGGTGGTTAGGGTGGTGGGTGGGTGGGAGTGTGGTGGGTGGGTGGGAGGGTGGTGGATGGGTGGTAGGGTGGTGGGTGGGTGGGTGGGAGGGTGGTGGGTGGGTGGTGGGTGGGTGGTGGGTGGTTAGGGTGGTGGGTGGGTGGGAGGTTGGTGGGTGGGTGGGAGGGTGGTGGGTGGGTGGGAGGGTGGTGGATGGGTGGGAGGGTGGTGGGTGGGAGGGTGGTGGGTGGGTGGTGGGTGGGTGGTGGGTGGTTAGGGTGGTGGGTGGGTGGGAGGGTGGTGGGTGGGTGGGAGGGTGGTGGGTGGGTGGTTAGGGTGGTGGGTGGGTCGGAGTGTGGTGGGTGGGAGGGTGGTGGATGGGTGGTAGGGTGGTGGGTGGGTGGTAGGGTGGTGGGTGGGTGGGAGGGTGGTGGGTGGGTGGTTAGGGTGGTGGGTGGCTGGGTGAGAGGGTGGGTGGGAGGGTGGGTGGGAGGGTGGGTGGGAGGGTGGTGGGTGGGTGGTGGGTGGGTGGGAGGGTGGTGGGTGGGTGGTGGGTGGGTGGTGGGTGGTTAGGGTGGTGGGTGGGTCGGAGTGTGGTGGGTGGGTGGGAGGGTGGTGGATGGGTGGTAGGGTGGTGGGTGGGTGGGAGGGTGGTGGGTGGGTGGGAGGGTGGTGGGTGGGTGGTGGGTGGGTGGTGGGTGGTTAGGGTGGTGGGTGGGTGGGAGTGTGGTGGGTGGGTGGGAGGGTGGTGGATGGGTGGTGGGTGGTGGGTGGTTAGGGTGGTGGGTGGGTGGGAGGGTGGTGGGTGGGTGGGAGGGTGGTGGGTGGGTGGTGGGTGGTGGGTGGTTAGGGTGGTGGGTGGGTGGGAGGTTGGTGGGTGGGTGGGAGGGTGGTGGATGGGTGGTAGGGTGGTGGGTGGGTGGGAGGGTGGTGGGTGGGTGGTGGGTGGGTGGTGGGTGGTTAGGGTGGTGGGTGGGTGGGAGGTTGGTGGGTGGGTGGGAGGGTGGTGGGTGGGTGGGAGGGTGGTGGGTGGGTGGTTAGGGTGGTGGGTGGGTCGGAGTGTGGTGGGTGGGAGGGTGGTGGATGGGTGGTAGGGTGGTGGGTGGGTGGGAGGGTGGTGGGTGGGTGGTTAGGGTGGTGGGTGGCTGGGTGAGAGGGTGGGTGGGAGGGTGGGTGGGAGGGTGGTGGGTGGGTGGTTAGGGTGGTGGGTGGGTGGGAAAGTGGGTGGGTGGTTGGGTGGTAGAAGGGGGGGTGTTGGGTGGTGGGGAGGGTGGGTGGGAGGGTAGGTGGGTGGGTGGGTAGGCGGATGGGTGGTGGGGAGGGTGGGTGGGTGGTGGGGAGGGCGGGTGAGTGCGAAGGTGGGTGGTGGGGTGGGTGATGGGGAGGGCGGGTGAGTGGGAGGGTGGGTGGTGGGGAGGGTGGGAGGGTTGTTGATTGGGTGGTGGAAGGGGAGATGGTGGGTGGGTGGTGGGGTGGGTGGGTGGTGGGGAGGGTGGGAGGGTTGGTGGTTGGTGATTGGGTTGGTGGTTGGTGATTGGGTTGGTGGTTGGTGATTGGGTGGGTGGGTGGGTGGCTCTATCAACATCACCATCATTCGCACTGTTATTCAAGGGACCTGTTTTCACCATCACGCTCACCACCACCACCGCTCACCGCCACTCTCACCACCACCACTCTCACCACCACTCTCACCACCACTTTCACCACCACGCTCACCACCACTTTCACCACCACTCTCACCACCACTCTCACCACCACTCTCACCACCACCACTCTCACCACTCTCACCACCACCACGCTCACCACCACCACGCTCACCACCACCACGCTCACCACCACCACCACCACGGCGGCGCTCACCTGCGACGAACTCGTTGAGCGAGGCGGTGCGGAGCGCCAGGAAGGCGTCGACGTAGCGAGCGGCGACTCGCGAGTCGCTCGCCGCTCGCTGGCTCGCAGCGACCGACTCGGCGAGGCTCAGCCGGCTCAGAGCGGCGTGCAGGGCGCGGCGACAGCGGACCAGGTAGGCGACGTACCTGGACCGCTCCCTACACCGCACGCGTCGCACACACACACACACCACACACCGCACACACACACACGTGTACACACACACCGCACACACACACACGTGTACACACACACACCACACACACCACACACACACCGCACACACACACGTGTACACACCGCAGACACTGCACACACACACCGCACACACACACCGCACACACCACACACACCGCACACACACCGCACACACACACACCGCACACACACACACACACACCGCACACACACACACCGCACACACACACACACACCGCACACACACCGCACACACACACATGTACACACGCACACACCGCACACACACACCGCACACACACACCGCACACACACACACACACCGCACACACAGACGTGTACACACGGACACACACACACCGCAGACACCGCGCACACACACACACCGCACACACACACCACAGACACCGCACACACACACACCGCACACACACCGCATACACACACACACACCGCACACACACACACCACACACACACACACACACCACACACACCGCACACACACCGCACACACACACACCGCACACACACACCGCACACACACCGCACACACACACACACCGCACACACACACACGTGTACACACGCACACACCGCACACACACACCGCACACACACAGGTGTACACACGCACACACCGCACACACACACCGCACACACACACCGCACACACACACACACACCGCACACACAGACGTGTACACACGGACACACACACACACCGCAGACACCGCGCACACACACACACCGCACACACACACACACACCGCACACACACACACCACACACACACACACACGCGTACACACGCACAAACACCACACACACCGCACACACACACACACACCGCACACACACACACCGCACACACACACACCGCATACACACACCGCATACACACACACCGCATACACACACACACCGCACACACACACACCGCACACACACGCGTACACACACACACCACACACACACATCACACACACACACCGCACACACACACACCGCACACACACGCGTACACACGCACATGTGTGCGAGCACACTAGACAAAGACAATGATCCCCCATATAGCCTGTAACAGACTGTAGGGGCAAGTGCTGTTAGCGAGCAGCACCTATGAAGGCCGGCACGGCACACGAGGGGGTGGGTGGCCAGCACCACGCCCGGCCGCCTTTGTCTCCCCAGTGGCGATGTTTACACACCGCACCGGGGACTCATTTGAGGCTGAGTCGACCAAGGGGAGGCCCAGGACCGGTTCAGATAATCGTCACTGTGGTGTTGGCTGTGAGCGAGAATCGAACCCGGGTCGCCAGGTTCATAGCGCAGCGTAGCGCTAACCACTACACCACCGCTCCCCACTCATTCTCACATACTCACCCTCACACACTCACTCACTCTCACACACACTCTCACACACTCTCACACACACTCGCTCTCACACACACTCACTCTCACACACACTCACTCACTCTCACACACACTCACTCACTCTCACACACACTCACTCACTCTCACACACACTCACTCACTCTCACACTCACTCACTCTCACACACTATCACACACACACACACACTCACTCTCACCCACTCACTCACTCTCACACACACTCACTCACTCACTCTCACACTCTCACACTCTCACACTCTCACACACTCACACACACTCTCACACTCTCACACTCTCACACACTCTCACACTCTCACACACACTCTCACACACACACACACACTTACTCTCACACACTCTCACACACACACACACTCACTCTCACATACATTCACTCTCACGCACATTCACTCTAACACTCTCACACACTCTCACACACACACTCACACACACACTCACTCACTCTCACACACACACACTCACTCTCACACACACACACACTCACTCTCACACTCACACACTCTCACACACACTCACACATACACACACTCACTCACTCTCACACACACACTCACACACACACACACTCACTCACTCTCACACACACACACTCACTCTCACACTCTCACACTCTCTCACACACACACACACTCACTCTCACACTCTCACACACTCTCACACACACACACACTCACTCTCACACTCTCACACTCTCTCACACACACACACACACTCTCACACTCACACACACACTCACTCACTCTCACACACACACACTCACTCACTCTCACACACTCACTCTCACACACACACTCACTCTCACACACACACACACTCACTCTCACACACACACACTCACTCTCACACTCTCACACACGCTCA